TACTGTGGTAGGAAAAGTAGATCAGAACGCTCTTGATCTCCCTGTGTATAGAGGTACCCTGTTCTCCTCTGCCACCCAGCTCAAACACAGTTGGATTTCCATTCTTTCTTTGCACTTGCCTTCTTTCCTTCCTCTGTAATTTGGATGGAGTGGTGAACAGCTTTGATCTGACTGTTCATAGGAGAAGAGACTAGATAACTTGAAAGAAGGGGATTTGATGAAGATCTGTAAGAAAGCAAGTAATGTGGACATGGTGAGTAAGGAGTCTCTGTTTTCACTCATTTCTAGTACAAGAAGAGGACTTTACATGAAACTAACAGGTGTCACAAGCGAAAGAAAATGGGTTCAGACACCATGGGTAGTAGTCTGTGGAATTTCTTGCTGCAAGATGATGCAGGCACAGACATTTTATTCAAGTTCAAAAAGGGACTAGACAGACTGATGGGAAGAAAATTGATTGAGGACTGTCATGTGCAAAGATGAGACATCTGCCTCAGTTAGTCTGAAGTTAGACATTGCAGGAAGCCAAGAGAGTATTCTGAGGGGAAAAAAAAATGAGGAAATATGTCTGAGCATTTACTACACAAACAGCAATTCCCCCATTTTTCTTCAGAAAAGGGTTGCCGAAAAGGCTGAGTTCATTTTGTACCATAGCCTTAGTCTTCAGGCTGCAGCTTAGCCAAGGCTGTATTAGGAAATATTTCATTTGGTTGAATTCAATGTTTTTCTAGTGATTCTTGGTGTCCATTGATCTTGTCTGAATTGAGCCAACACAGCGGGATATTGCTAAGATACAAACCTTAGTTTGTCTTGAGTTCTTCCCCTGCTCTGTACCACAGACATGGAGATAGAAGAGACAGAGTACGTTGCTGCTTTTCAGTTCCTCCAGAACTGGCCGCATAAGGCAAAGCTTCTCTTCTTCTCTTCAGCTGCACCCTATTTATTTTTCTTCTGTTGCAGGTTATCTCATCATTTTCATGGAGTCTATTCACTCCTTGCTTAACTGAAAGCATTTGAGCTTCAGAACAATGTTAGTCCTTAATGCAACATCTGTTTAAAAAAACAAAAGCCTCTATTTTTTTTCTTTATGCTAATGAGCTTGCTGGTTTAAGAGGAGTCATTAACCACCTTCAGGAATCGTGTTGTTTGTGGTAGCATATTTACCACTTTGGACAGTTGCTGATCCTGTCTTTTGCTAGGAGATGACCATCTTGCTGACAGGTTCCTCATCTGCATAGTTTTCATGGCCACAGCTAAAAAAGTCAGGCAGCGAAGCCTTGTCCTGTTCTGCTGGGCCTGTAAGCCACAGGAGATTGCCTTCTTTATCGCTGTGCTTTCAGTTAGGCTTCAGTATCTTCAAGCCCAAGGTGGCTGAGGGAACCCATCTGAGCACTTGCAGTAGTAGTCCTTAGTTTTGCATTTTCATCAAAAGAAAAAGTAAAGACACTAAAGTCAAGGGTCTGGAACACATGTCCTATGAGGAGCGGCTGAGGGAACTGGGGGTGTTTAGTCTGGAGAAGAGGAGGCCGAGGGGAGACCTCATCGCCCTCTACAGCTACCTGAAAGGAAGCTGCAGAGAGCTGGGTTTGAGACTCTTTAGCTTAGTAGAAAGCAACAGGACAAGAGGGAATGGCCTCAAGTTGCACCATGGAAGGTTTAGACTGAATATTAGGAAGCATTTCTTTACAGAAGGGGTTGTTAGGCATTGGAATGGGCTGCCCAGGGAGGTGGTGGAGTCCCCATCCCAGGGGGTGTTCAAGAGTAGGGTCATTTTAGAGCTTAAGGATATGCTGTAGGTGGGAACTGTGCTAGGTGAACCGTTGGACTAGATGATCTCCAGGGTCCTTTCCCAACTAGATTGATTCTGTGTAAATGTTCTTTTGCTGAAAATGCATGTGTTTCGGGATTTTTCACATGGTGCACCTTCACTTGGTCATGTGCTCAACAAGAGGTGTCTATACAGCTTTATTTTCCAGACTTGCACAGACTCAGCCAAAATATACCATTTGGCCCCCATCATAATTTTTATTTCTATGTGCTCTGTCACATTCCCTACCAGATAAGATTTGAGACGCATGTCAGCAGTGGACACAAAGTCTAGTTGGAGTCCTCTTAGCAACTGCCCTAGCCCTATACTCCAAAGTGTAAAGTTAAAAGATATTCTATTGTTTTGTCCTGAACATAGGTTTTAAGATCCTGACTGGACTTCACCCTTCAGAGAGACCCAGTTTCTCTGAAGAACTTCTGTCTTCATAATGAGCAAACCATTTGAACCTGCTGCTACTTGTCAGCTGCTTTGTTTATATGTAGAAAAGATAAGTGAGCTCCAGATCTGTGTCTGTTTCACAGACTTTCCTTCACACAGAAGGGGGCATTTCCTACAATGTATCAATGCATTTCCTTTTGCAAAGCTCATACTGCTTCAGCTATATGTTACATGATGTAGAATGTTCATGTCTTTTAAGATAGACACATCCTTACGTACTCAACGTTGGAGAGGAAAAAAGATACCAGATATGGCTTCACCCCCTTTATTCATGTCTGTGCAGCATGCAGGAGCAGAGGGACCTAATGTGTGCCACTACAGGTAACTATTATCATAAAAATACTCCAGTGAACAGTACTGAGGGAAACTGAGGGAAAGTAACAGCAGGATAAATGTGTAAGAGCATCTTGAAGAAATCCAGTTGTTTGAGAACAGCTGTAAGTTTTCAGTATTACTGCTCTTCCTTGCTCCCATGCAGCAGCTTGTTACCATCTCTCTGGTGATGGCTACCAGCCCCACAGCACAGCTGACAGACGAAACAGGACAGATGCTCTCTAAATGACTTCAATGCAGTGTCCCAGGCCAACTGAAACCACCACCGCTACTTTTGGCAGTTTCAGATAAGCACACAGAAAAGAGGCTCCTCACTGATATGAATGTGCATGAGCTATGAGTGCGTGCTGGCAAGTAGTGAGGGGAAGCAGTGGCATCAGTTGCCACCGCTAAAAATTGTCACTGTCTGTGTGTCTGTGCCTTTAGGACTCTTGTCAGGAAGCCGAGCTTATCTTAGCTTTTACAAATTTTTGTTTTATTGGTTTCTTCAGCATTTAAGAAATATTAAAATGAGAAAAAAATAGCTTTTCTCAAACCCATATCTAACTGGACCAACACCTCTGAGGCTTATTAGAGCAAAAGCAGTATTTTCATGTAAAGTTAGTTGTTTGAGAATGATGTGATTTAAAAGCAAAGTCTAAATTTGAAAATAACAGAATTGCTAACATGAGAAAACAGGGATAAAAAATTATCTTTCAGTACTTCACTTTGTTTCCACTTAGAAGAGAACAGATATCTGCATTATGTGGTGCTGTAACATATATTTGAGCTATTTTTTACAGACAAATATAAAAAAGACTTCTTTAAGGTTTTATAATCACAGTTAGATGAAATGCATATTAAAATTAAAAAAGAGACATTAGAATAAAATGAGCTTCTATTTGTGTGATGTTAATAATAAGTATATCTTATTTCTACAGCTTCTAGGTATTCATGAGTGGTCTGTCTGTGGTTTTATCAGGTTATCATTTGTGTACTCCAGTAGGGAAGAATTCTCAAATAATATTTTAAAATAGTTTATTAGAAAAGCTGACAAGAATAGAACTGCTATAGCATGCAGAATTATGTAGAACTTCTGTTAAAAATTATTTTTCTTACTCCATTTTCCTGTAGTTGCATAGTGTCTTTTGTAATTAGAAACTCAAGTCTGACATTCCAAGTGGTATGAAATATAGGGTCTTTTGGATTTTATTTCCCATAACAGAGTAATCGTTAATTTAATGTTTCCGTACTGCTGTTCAGATGTGACCCTTCCATGTTTGCAGGTAGGCGGAGGTCAACACGTGAGGAAGGAAGGAATTGCGAAGATGACAAATGTAACTGTGTTTGCTTGACTTCCAGTGCAGTGTCAATGCCAGAGAGATACAGCTGCAATAAATAATGTTTATTCTGACATCTGGCATAACTTTTACCAGTAATTATCAGGCAGTCTTTAATTTGCCTCTTCCATCACAACCTCATGGTGCAATTACCAAATTGAGTTGGCAGGTGAAGGCATATTAATTAGATAGAAGACAAAAGAAAAGATGGGAGGGCCAGGAATGCAGTAGGGAAGGAAACTGACACATGACGGAAGGGCACAACAGCAGGAACCCAGGGCTTGCATCCTGGATACTCAACTGGTATTGAGCCAATTCCAGCAGGATGTGTTTAAGTCATTTGGTCTCTTTGCTGGCCCAATTTCAGTGGGCCCAAAGAGATCCCAGATATGCTGTATGAAGGCGTAATGGGAAAGCTTGTTCTTTCCCAGCCAATCCTGCTGTCCTCATTGATCTCAGGTAAACAGCACTTAAAAAGAGGTGGCCATCTCACACCATCAGAATTAACCCATTGATCTACTTTTTGGTGGCTATAACTGTGAACATTTATTCCTGTTTCTAAAACGTTTGTCTTGTGTCCATGTCTGACTTCAGAAGTTTTGAATAACCCTGCATCACTGCTCTTTTAACTGAAATGGTGCAGTTTTCACGTTACAGTCTCTTGCTTCAACTTATTTTTTGTGTTTATAAATAATTTATTTACAACTAGAGTAGACACTCTTTACAATACACACTGGAAGAGAAGGTTCTCCTTTAGGAAAAGGAGCAAAGAGATAATACACCTTGCAAAGATGAGTGATTTAACATATGGGAGATATTTGGTGTTGGGGAGAACTAAAGAGTTCATTAACTTTTCATCTGTTACATTTGACAATGTTATCTATGTGAATTGTCCAATAAGACGTTTGTGCTTCAGATACTGTAAAATGCAGTTTCACCTCCAATGGGCTGTAAACTAAGCACCTGTCAAACATACACAGAAATTGTACATTTTATCTCAAAGTTTGATTTCTTTTACTTGTGTGGCTTGGCTAACAAAACCATTGCTGTAATTGGAGCTCAGCTAGAGGTCTTACAATTTTCAGATATTCTGGTTGTAGTCAGTCTGAATTGTAAGCTATTTGTGTTTAATCCTTTCGCAGACACCCAAACCATGAATTGAGTCTTTGCTTGAGTTAATAACATCCAGGCATACATATGTGCACTGTGGAATTTGAACATTCACAATGGTGCATATTTCCTGGAAAAATAATGAGATCAGTCAAAATGATACAGCTGGGAAATTATAATGCTGAGTTTTCCTGCTGTCCTGTGACAACTCTTTTTTAGTCCAACATCACTCCTTGATTTCCTGACATCCAGAAGAACAGAACCTTACTTAAACTGCTGCACGGGGAACACTGAGCTCTTACTGTGGACCCTGGATTTTTAAGCTTGCTCCGCTGTGGTGTACTACAGATTTTATTTTTCAGGTAGTTTTCCATTGGCAGATTTTGCAAGTACCATCATTTGTGTTTCTCCCACATCACGTGAGCTTTCTTCGTGATGTGACCTGACAGCGCTTGAAATGGATACACTCACTTGTCGTCTCAGTATTTTCATTACAGTTCTCTTGTATCCTTTGCATGCAAAGAAATAGATGAAAGGATCTAGACAGCAGTTAAAATTCATCAGAAAGACAGTATAATGGAGTGACTTCTGGAAAATTTTCTTTTCCATGCATGGGGGTTCATTCTGAAGCTTCTTAATCATATGTTGTATGATTGCAACGTGATATGGGGTAAAACAGATGATGAACACTATAATTACAAATATGATTGTATTGATGGCTTTTTTGTTTATCCCTGATTTTTCAGTCAGTGGATTTTCCTTGGCTGTTTGAAAAAGTTTGCAACTAATTTGAGAGTAACAAAATAGTATAATCCCCAGGGGAATAAGGTACCCTACTAAACAGGCAGCAAGAAGGATAAGCGGTAGATGTGCTATTTTTTCAAAGTTTGGATATTCCATACATGTAGTCCTTTCTTCTTCTTCCTGTGACATGGGTTGTATAAGTAATGGGAAAGTTTGACTAAATACAAGAAACCAGATAAAGACACAAATGCCCTTAGCATATTTAATCCTTCTGATCTTGTATCGAAAGGGATGGACAACAGCGAAAAACCTGTCAATGCTCAAACACGTCATGAAGTTTACACCTGCGTAGGTGTTGATATAGAACAAGAGAGCGGTTATTCGACACAATGCTTCTCCAAAGGGCCAGTGAAATCCCAGGGCGTAGTAGGCTATCCTTGTAGGCAAGGCAATACAGAACAGGAGATCGGAGAAGACGAGATTTGTTGAATAAAGGGTAGTGGAGTTGATTTTCTTTCTGTTTTTAAAAATGACGGTGAGGGCAATGGTGTTTCCAAGCACCCCAAGAATTAAGATGGAGCTGTAGAAGACAGACAGTAGTATCCGTGCTGTATCTTTATGCTCATATAAGTCGCAGGTGGAACTGTTTGTCTGAGAAGCTGTGAAAGTGTCCATTTTTGCAACCACTGTTGTTGCAGGAAGCTCAGTGGACCTAACATTGGAAAAAAAACACAAAAGGGAACATTATGTAATGAATGTAGATAAACTGCTTCTGATAACAACGGTCAACCTCTGTTGCAAAAAGCAAGATTGTAAAAAACTGAAATGAAACTTCATTATGGTGAATTATTTTTCAAGCCTCCTTCCAAAAGCAAACAAAAAGATGTCTCTTCTTGGCTTTTTTGGTTTGACCCCAATTCCTTTTCTCCTGAAGAAAGTCAGGCAGGCAAAATAATAAACCAGGGATGTAATGTACTTGGAAAGTGAAGTTTATAGATGATCAGAAGGTGGGAGACTGTTTAGAGTAATCTGAGGGGAAAAAGGAGTCTGAAGAAACCACATGATAAAGGATCATATGAAGGCCCCAAGGGTCAGACAAGCAGACAAAATGTTTTAAATGTGTTTCAGTTAATTTTTAGGGAGTTTCTGTTCCTAACAATTTGTGTTATAATGGTTTAAGTTTAGAGAAGCTAATTTTTTTCAGCATTCTTACTATATTGGCATTATAATAATTCAGCTTGTTTAATATTAGTTTTTAAGTATTCGCTTTTGGAATCTAATTCAAATATTACATACATAAATTCTTAAGACTACCACTTTAGTCACTCTTCAGTGGTGCTGCAAAAGAGAGAGAACCCAACTGAAATATTTTACATGTTGACAATTTAGTAGATTTTAGAAATTGTTTAACCTGCACAGTCAGATGTATCATGGAAGAGCTGCAGAGTGTCGGTGATTTGGAGGACTTAAAAATATAAAAAATTATCCAGCAGAATTTCAGAAAAGGAAAGGACCCCATCCTATTGATACTGCTTCCAGTGCAAAGTATTTCTTGGGTGCGTTACCTGACAGTTGCATAGTGTAAACATAAATGTCAGAAAGGATGAGGCATTTGACATTGCTCCTCTTAGAGGCACCATTTACGGATTACATCATCAGTGAAAACAAGATTGCTTCTGCTTTAATGCAGAATACAATCTGGAGATAAAAGTTTTAAGTCTATCTAGTGCCTTTAATTAAAATGTCTAGCTTATTTCTGAGCATCTGCCTTTCAACACACTATTTACAAATAACTGGAGCTTGCTGTACCTTAAAAAAGTTTTTCTGGAAAATGCCTCTCAGTTTTAAGGGTTTTAAGATACACATTTTATAAAGTATTCATTATCCTTTTATTAACTTGTGAAAGTATTAAAAGGTTGATATCTTCTTTCATGTTTTGAGGAGATAATCCTCATTATTTCAGATTGTTCACAATTAATGTACCTGCAACGCATAAGCCAGTCTGATCAGACTTGTGGCTAGGTTAGCAGGGGTGCATAAGCTTCTCAGCTGTAATCAGTAAACCTGCAGGAAGTGGATGATATGTATTAAAATACGTAAATGAACATGTATTACGTATGTTTAAGCAGGAAATTTAGCACCCAGATAGTGTATTAAAGTCTATATTTGCTGTGTTGAACAGGCAGTAGGAAAGACAGGTGGGTGATTTCTGACATGTACAATGTTCTGATTCTTGGATAACCCATGAAGTATGTACCACGTGTCAGGAGGTGAGAATACTGCATTCAGGGTTCAAAGTCAAATCTGAAATGAAAGGTTTGTGGTTTGAATAAGGGAATTAAACCAGCAAATGGCAAGTCCAGCTGTAGTGCAGATTTAAGAATGTCTGTAATTTTATGTTAGTTAATTCTACATCATTCCACATCTTGCTGTTAGTGTGTTTGATAGTGGATTAATACAGTATTACTGCCCTGAGGATGGCCCTGGTATACTTTCCTTCTGTTTCGTCTTTTCCCTTATAGAAGCACATATGATGGCTCTTATTTTACATAAGTGTAATAGACTGCTTTTTGCAGAAGATAGTGTGGGTTTGTGTAGGCACCTGGATAAGAGTCAGAGAGGTATTTTGTTTTGCCTCTTTTATTTAAATGCTTCAGATCACTTGTTCATACTCCCAGCATGGCATCTATCTTCTATTCATCCCTTCCTTGAAATTTAGGTAAAATAACTTCTTATATGTAAGGAAGAATAATCTAAGATATATGATAAACAGTTCTATTGCAGTAACTAGTTACAACATATTAACTGCATAATTTTATTTTCATTATAAAGTTGTAATAGTTTTCATTCATAAATAATGTGCATAATTGTCACATCCATTCATTTGCCTTTCTACAGATGTTTGTAAAATGTAGAATATCTATCATACAAATGCATTTAACTGGGTTAGGAAAAAATCTGTGATTTCAATGATTTTTTAAATTTTTTTATTTTTTTTTTACATTAGGAGTAGAATTTCATAAAATGCATGTTACCTAATTTTGTGCTATGAAGTCAGATCTTTACTAAATTAATCTAGAATTTGTTCCTCAAAATAGAATGTTCAGTCTCACATAAAACCATGGTTATATTGAGAAGGAGTCCTAGCTGAGAGAGAGTTGGTGTCTCTCCATGGTGCTAACATGGATGTACATGGGGAATGGTTCTGTGGCAGGACAATCTGGACACAAACAGGTGAGAAGAAAGCTGAAGCACCACAGTTTACGGGCCTTCCAGGGCAGTGTGCACATCAGCTAAGCTGTACTCCTTGACAGAGGATGTCAGCAGGCTCTTGGCCTGCTGTGGGAGTCAGCCCTGGATGGGGAAGGTGGTTTTTTGATCCTCTGTTATCCTTAAAATATTTCTGACTGTTAATGTAGGGAGCACATTTTATAATTCGCTAGATTAGTATTTTCTTTGTATGTATGGGCATATTTGAGCAGTCACCATGGTGTCTAGTCCCTATATTACCTGAATATATTCCATTTGTTTTTTTTAAAAAAAAAAAGAGATACTGTATCTGATTTGGGGCCCAAACAAATGATAAAATTGCTACCATCTGACTACTTAATGTGCATCACCTGAGTTATGATAACTTCTTTGTATGTCTGAGCTCTTACTGTTGTTGAATGAACTCCATTCACCTCAGCAGGTATTTCACCTTTTCTTGTCAATTTTGAACTGGGCTGCATTTAAAAAAAAGAACAACTTTCTTCCTAAAAGGTGCCTAGGCTATTCAGACAAGATTTTTTTTTTTTTTTTTAAATCTTATTCCTTGTGTCAGATTGCTGTTTATTTCTTAGCAGCAGTCCTTAGTGATCAGCTTATTATACATGCAGAACATATGACATCCTCCACAGAATGTATCTAAAAAAAAACCAGCAGGCCCATTTTGTGCACTTTTTGTGTATTTTGCATTTTTGGAGCAAAAATGGAGAATATTACCTCCTTACAGCTGCAAACCTCAGACTAGCTGGACTTGATTCTTACTGGTTTTAATGAGCTGTGTGCCTGAATACCTTATGAGAACATGGGCAGTTACTGTTCTGAATCCAGATGCACCACTGAAGCTACCCTCTAGAATCACTACCAAAATGTTTCCTCTTCTAGGTTGTTGGATTAAATACCGCTCCCTGGTGGCTTTCTGGGTTTATTAATGATAGTATTTTGAAGTATATACTTGAGAAAAAAAAAACATTAATTTACTGATTTTATAATTTTAGAAAACATTGCAACAATTTTTTGGCTTAGAGGTACATGTGAAATTTTAAGGTATAAAGTGTTGAAAATTCCTGTCTTTATATTGGTATTGTAAAGAAGGTTGTTCAGCTTCTTACATTTTCTGAGTCTGTAGACACACAATACTCAGTGACACAGACCACTTACTCATTTAATGTGACTTCTATAATTCAGGTTATGTTATTTTATTTATTTGTCTATAGATTTCATTAACCTTTCATTCAAAGCATATTTTCTAAAATGCTGTTTGGTCTTGATTTGGAGAACTGAAGAGAAAGAGAATTAGCCATTTGTACTGTAACTTTTGGTCAGTCAACCTCCCTATTAAAAATGTGTGTGTGTCTTACTTAAATTTCTTTAAAATTAATCTGCAATTGTGGTTTTTGTTGAGCCTTTCCCCCTTAGTCTCATGGTTTTGGCAATTCAAGTTGAACTTCCCAAATGTCTCACCACAAGGCAAAATAGTCCTGTGATGTCTGCTCTAACCCAGCTTAGTCCCACACAGAAGATGGGGTTCCAGATGCCTCTCGGTATCGGTGTAGCTGGAAGCATACTCACCAATATGTCCCTGCTTTTTCTGTTCTGTTGATTAGGCATCCGAGATAGAGTTGTGTAGCATTACACTGGGAGCTTGTGAAGTTAGTTCACTGTGATCCCAAAGTCCTTCTCATATTCACTGTGTCCTAGGATATTCAGTCTAGGAACATGGCCATTGCTCTCTGCTTCTACCTGGGAGGACCTTACACCTGGGAGAGTTTAAAATTAGTTTTAATATTATGCCCAGGCTTGCAGCTAGTGCAGGTTGTTATTCATTGTTCTCTCGCTTGCCATTTTCAAGTCTTAGCATTGTATTTGCTTTCTGACCACCAATGGGAAAAAAAAAAAAAAAAGTTTTAGTTAATTACTGTATGACATTTGTTAACTAGCCAGCTTTTAGTCTATTCTGTGTGCTTTCTTGATGTTGGTAGCAATAGTATTAACTCAGGGAAAAAATTACAGTACCATGTCCAGCAGTTTACAAAATCTAGCATATCTGAAATCTCTGCAGGTGCCTTTCTGAGCCTATTTTGTAATCTCATCAAAGAAAGAAAATAAATTGTTCTAGGAGACTGGTTTGCTGTGAAAATGTTTGAGTGGTATTATTATTTGTTTTACATTTATCCTGGAGTATGCAAGAGCCCAGCTCGGAGTAGAGTCTGTACTGTAAAAGGTGTTTGTGAACAGAATGGTGGCTCCAGTCTAGAAGTACTATGTAATCCAAAACCCTGATTCGTAGAAATGCTGATGTATGATGAGCTTTATATGTAGTATTGTAATGTTACATACATTTAACTATTAACAAGCATAAATTTAAGCTATGAGCCAGCAATTGCATTCTTGCAACCTTAGATTACATGGGTTTGAATCATGTGCAAGCAGTGATACAAAGAGCTTGCTCTCTGTATGCTAATTCTTCTTGTTTGCTTCTCCTGCTTTTGCTGAAGGAGCACCATCTGTCTTTTCAGCAGAACAGGGAACATGTAGAAGGCTTTAACTGTGTATTGTAATCTAATGTATGATTTGTCTGTCTCCATAATATTCATTCTTTGGAGATGAATCCCCAGTCCATCTGTCCAGGAGCTAATTTAAGAGGGGTGCTAATTAAATTCTTAGAAAGGCACAGCAGATCATTAGAAAGATCTCTTCTGACTCTCTACAGTATGGTTTAGTCACTTTGAGATGGATGATACTTCCTTAACAAACAGTATTGGGGAATAATGCTATGTATGCATAAAGAGTATAAATGATTTTAAATGAATCATTGGGAAAGAGACTTCTCTTTCCCTGCAGTTCCTGACCTGAGCATTTACTGAGCTTACAGCTGTCTATAGGTGCAAGCTCTGTAAGTCTTACAGAGTTTAAAACCAGTAGAAGATGGGAAATATACAGTGCTGTGGTTATGTAGGCTTATGTTTTTCCTTGATCTCTAAAATTAATTCTTTTCTGTTGACCAGTCATATTTACTGTTTGAATTTCTAATGTACCATACGAGTAATCTTCATTGTAGTGTCTTTTCTGAGAAAAAGGCTTGATTCAACTCAGTTATGTATGTTAAAAAGTGCCCATGCTAAGCTGCATAGTAGAATGCTTTGTTAATATAGAAAAAACATATACCTAGGGTACATATATCTAGGTGTGTGTATTGTTATCTTGGGAACTACATATGTTTTCATAAAAGCTTGAGGCAAGAGACAGAAGTGTCCTAAAGCTTCCTGGGTTTAATATTTTAACACTCATATGCTTCTAGTGCATTATGTTAATTTACCTTTTTTTTCAAAAGCTGTTGAGTTTTGTGTCCTAAATGATAATGAGTAGGCCTAATGACCTGAAGATTGAAGGTCGAAACCCACAGCTAATTTTGGTGGGATAGATTCCAGGCTAGTGCTTTTATTCATCCTCAGTATAAACTCAAATTTGTTGGAGTACTAAAGCCAAATTTGTAAGTGACACATCAGGGAATCACACATATGCAATTCATAAATGAAATGGTCTTAATGATGGCTATGAAGAATTATAATATTCTTTAAATGCTTAACAGAATTTGCAGATACACACACTGTGGCATCTTTATGGTCCTGCTTTTATCTATTTTCTTTAATCTACAGATTTTGCAAAGTTGTATGACAGTTACATTTGGCGCTCAAAAATAACAGAAGCTACAGTAAGTGAAATAGAAATAAAGAAGTTGAAGTGCTGCTTAATTAGTTAAAGAAAAAGTGGAAGTAATTTGAAGTGTACATGTCTCGCCCTTATCTGTTGGATCTCTTTCCAAATGTGATCCGTCCTGTGAAGTGTGAGAACTATCTAACATAAATCATCTCTGCCAAAGATGCATGTTGATGTGAAGAGCTGAGATGATTACCCTCCCTTCAGTTTACTTGCCTAAGTATACTAAATGTGAGGAGAGAGCCTAAAATATAGCAAATTAACAAAATAAAACCTGAGCCACTAACAGTTACATTCCTGCAATCAGAAGAAAAATAACAATTTGTGTTTTAGTACTAGAAAACATGCACACCTTTTATATGGTGTGGGTTTTTTGTTTGGGTTTTTTTTTTTTCTGAATGATATGGAACCTGTACAGGTACAGTCTTTAATTTTAGGGATTACAACTTCAGAACTCCAGTTTAAGTTTATTATTCATTACATCTATATCTACTCCTCAATCTATAGAACAGAAAGGGATGATTTGAGCTCTTAAAGACTATTTGCCAGTTTTTAAAGTTTTCAGTTCCCTTGTCTTTTCAGGAGAAGCCATGACAATATTACACAGTCCTCTTTCGTTCTGTGCTCAAAGGCATGCGTGCTGTCTCTATTTTTTTAAGATAAATGGTAGTTGAGTTACTGTCTGTTGAACAGTCTATCTTGTTTTAGCAGTATAATAGGAAAAATTGATCTTTTTTAATTGGGAAGATGTTTTCAAATTGTAGCCTTGTAGCATGAAGATGAGTAATAAGGAGAACGATATTTGGAGATTGTAATACAGAAAAAGAGTTCTTTCTAAAAAAATTGAAAGAAATACATGTCAGAAGGTAAAGAGTTAGCTCATAAAACTTTGTATTCTTAAAATACTCTGTTGCAGTATTTAGATTTGAGAAGTGTGACTGAGAAGTTCTTGAGCTGATAATAAAGGCTGTTTCATAGACAAGAAGCGCATTTGATAGAACAAGTTGTGCATCCATGACCATAGTATGGATTTGTTTTAAGGCGTTACCCTACTATTAAAGTATTCTGTGAGGTTTAGTGAATGAGTTAAGAACTGCAGTGCTTCTCTTACTACTTGTACAGTTGTTATTTCAACATTAGTGTAATTTAAATTAGTTGTTAAAAAACAGTCTAAGCTAATGCAGTATCTAATGTTTTCCTGTGACTGTCGAAAGGCTGTATTGTAAGAAAGGTCTTGAAATAACTTGTTGATGCTGTGGGTCAGCAGATCCTTTAAATAAACCTGCAGCATATTCATATGTGAACATAAAATATCACATAATTTCTTCCACAAGCCTTGTCTCTCCCATCCAAAGATCATTTATCCTACCTACCACATCACATGCAAATATTCAGTATAATGCAAAAAAGAAATAATCTTTCTGAAATTGCTTACTGTTGTTCAGTGAAAAAAATAGTTTAAAAAGTTAATTCTTTTCTGTACTTACATATCTGTAGCTTCTTGGATCCTCTGAGCAGTTACAGGCATTAGGAGGATGGCTTGACTGTGAAAGTTTACCCTTGCACATTGTTTTCAAGAGTGATTACGTGAGTCGCTCTTGTGGGAGGGGTAGGTTTTTTCAAGTGCTTAAAAAAAACCTTGTTTGTATGCTGGTCTTGATTTGCTGCCTACTGTTTTATGGGATGTGAAAGCATCTATTTTTAATCCTTTTACAATTAGTCTGTTCAAAGAGAGTAATTAGAAACAACCCTCCCGCCTCTTCTCTGAAGTTATGCTTTACTGACTTTCACAGAAGGGACTTTACCCAGAGGTTTACTTGACTACTAATTGTTGACCAACTAAAATCCCTGTGTGAAAAACTTTGTTTATATGCCATTTGCATTTTAAAATAACTTGAATTTAGTCTGTAGAAAAGAGCTGTATGATCAGTACATGTTTTAAAACTGCTGCTTACTTACGAGCTCTGGACACAGCACAAGAAGACCTCAGAACTGAGGCATACTGAGATGCTGTGTAAAACCAGACATCTTGACAGCCTGTGTATATTCACAGCACTGTTTTAGTATCTTAATGATGAGGCTTTACAGAAATGCCCTTGGAAAATATACAGGGGAGTTGAAGAACTCTGGTGGTTTGAGAGATTAATGAGGATGTGTGCTTTCGTAAGCTGTTTATTGTGTTTTGAGCAATAATAATAATAATAATAATACACATGTTAAGGTAAATACATTAAAAATAAAAAGCTTTTAAAGCACAAATCTGATTCCCCTAAAATGATATTGTTAAGAATGGGTGGCTAAGGAACAGGGAAGGAATGGGATGTCAAATTGTGAGGTTACCCGTTGTTACCTGGAATAACTTTGTTTCTGGGTAAAGAACATTGATCTAAGAGTTAAAGTGTGTGTTTGTTATGAGGGTTTTGGAGATCAAAGATAGATGGAAAATTCTGTCATTTGCTGTTAAGAGGCTGTGGTTGAGAGTTACCTGGGATTTTCCCCAAAAACTCATACCGATCATTCATGACTGCAAAGGACTATTTATCTTTAAAGTGACCTCATTTAATGGCCTGATTTTAAAGAACCAGCGAGAAGGCATGGTGGTGCTATTTTTGACAGGTCCAACCCATGCAGAGGGGGGAATGTCTCTTTGGAAATGTTAGGGCTGTGTTCACAGCACAAGTGTTTGCTGACGTTGCAGTGTTAGAGGTGTGCAGAGATATGATCTTGACTAATATGTCAATCTCATCAGAAAGCCTAAAGAAAATGCAGATCCAATGACAAAGTTAAACTTTATTAAATGTACATTGTTTTATGGGAAACGGTTTTGCTATAGCAGAATGAAGTAGAGCCTTGTGAGCTAATTTTGTGCCTGCCTGGAGCATTTAGTTGGCACTATATGCTGATTTTCCTGGTGCTGAACAAGCAGTGCAGACATGGCTTGATTCCCCTTATATGCCAGGGAGTTGAAGGGGCTCAGTCTGGGGCTTTCAACTCCTCAGTTTCAATGGACGTTTATCTTCTAACACCACATTCAGAAAGTCTTTGAGAGAACTTTCTGGTGTTATTCTGGATTTTTTTGCTTTCTTGTTTTTTAATTATTTTTTAATTATTCAGCTTCATCACAGAGTAGAATTTCTTTAAATGAAGCAATGAGAATTAAAAACTGTTTAAAGAGAAATTGCACAGGGAACTTGCTTCATATGTACACAAAGTAATACTGCAATGTGGTTGGTTCCCTCTCCAGCAACAGGAGAGTTGAGAGTATCCTGAGATACTCAGGATCAGTATCAAAGAGAGTATCCTGAGATACACAGGCATGTAGTGGTCTTTTTGCTCAAGGACTGACATTAGTACCACAGCTTCATATTAAAGGAAATGTTTATTTCAAAATAGTCTTACCATTATAAAATAACGCCAATATGCGTTTCCTGCTCTGATCTGATAAAATACTGCCTTCCTTTGATTAAGATACATTACTAGATTGTACCCTTTGAGTTACACTGGTGTATTAGCTACCAATCCAGTTTAGCATGATGTGACGTTAATTGCTTGAGCTAAATGATATAGGTTGCATTCTTTGACTGACTCATCTTTCTAGATATTTGTTTTCTGGTCTTATACAGCTGCTGTTTCTCCAATATCTGCTTGACTGTCCCAGGATTTGAACATTTAAACCAAGAAATGGCACGTGTCACTAAGTGTGATATATATTTGTTTTTACTATTTATGTGCAAGAGCTTATTGTTTTGCTTTTGGCATACAAGGAGAGTAGCATGCAAATAAATGTACTAATTTGTTACTTTCGGAGATGGTGACATCAAAGCAGTGCAGTTAATATTTTGACCAGTATGTTATGATGCCTGTGATGATTTATTTTCTGTCTGCTTACTTAGTCCCTACTCTATCTGAGCAGTTTACAAATGGTACTGGCTTTAGCTTTACAATTCCATATCTGGAGAGCTACTACCCAAGGTAAGAAATTATTTCTGGATTACATAGGGTGTTTATCAATAAAACAGAAAATGAATCCATCCAGCCTGTTTCTTAACTGCGAAACTGCCTTTCCTTCCAAAACTAATTTTGTTTTCTGGGAGACAGGTCAGGTGTCTAGAACTAACCTGTAGCTGAATCTTGTCTTTTTTTATGGACAAACATGATTTCTCAACTGACTTGAGTTAGAGGAACAGTAAATGATGACTCACCAGTGAATCATGGTAACTGCTGAGGTCAAATAAAATGTTTTAGGTTAATCTAGATAAAGAAGAAGAAATCAAGCACTAAATCTTAGATTAATTTAGGACATTAAATATGTCAATACAGTTGTTGAACTGTGCCTCCTCAACAAAATACTTCACCGTCTAAATCGCTTCAACGTTTCCTTGTGCCTTCATATGTGTTCTGCCTAGCTCCAGTTTCTGTGCAAGATTTAGTTGAATATGGGATTCACTGGGAGCCCCTGCCTCTCAGAAAGGTGCAAGCTCCTCTCCCTTGCTGAATTCAAACTGTTGTTTGGTTGTTATGGTAAGTCATGAAAGCAAAGCTACCTGGTAAGCTGTCACCATCAATTACTTGCTGCAGACATCTTATGCAGAGCAGCAACTGTCAGTGGGTAAGCATGGGTAGCTAACTCTGTTAACACCTAGCTGGCATTAATAACGTATCAGTTAAGGATAAATAGTTGTCCCTGTGACACTGCACTCATTTCTGGCACAGGGTTTGGCCAGCCATTCCTGTACCACTCCATTGGTTTCATCTGTATCTCCATACTTTGGCCTTCACATGCATGGCAGCATGCTAATCGTAAATTAAATAAAGCACAGGGGCCTTGGTTTTTAAAAAAAAAAAAATCTTCATAGTGCTGCAAGCTGAATAATTCTTTGATGGTCTGCAGTAATTGCTTGCCTGCGAGCAGTATATTGTGAATGCCTAACTGAAGAAATTTTATGTTGTATACAGCAGCAGCAGGCTGGTAGACTAGAAATGGTCAGGTACCATAAGTCAGCTTTGCACAACAAAGGTCGAGGGGAGATAGAATTAACTGATCTGAACAAGCTAAAGAATATTTTTTACATATATTAGCATCTTTTTAATGATGAATAAATTAAACTTGTAATTGGAAGAAAGATTCTAGCCAGTAGAAGAAGAAAGGCCTGGATTAGCTCACCAGTGGGAAGGGAAAGGAACTTGTAACTGGTTTACAATGGACCTGGGAAGTTTACAGAATAAATTGTTGGATAGTCTTGGCATTAAAAACTAAAGCTTTTTTTTTAGGAGAGGTAAGTCTCTGCCTTCTGTCTTCATGAGGGGATTGTAAAGTAGTTGGTTTGTTGATTGGTCTTATATTAATGGACCCAAAGTTGCAGTGATTCTGCTGAGATATCCATGGACAGGAGGAACCTGTCCCTCAAGATGCACAACTTCAAGTTTTGTCTTGGGTTTTTTGTTTCCACTTTCTTCCTGCACTCCTGTGAAATACTGGCAGTTGGATACATGAGTACTGGGGTAATGTACCCTAATGCTTTTGCTGGTATTGAGAGGCCTCAGGCACTGGGGTGTTGTGCACCTGTAGTGAAAGGGTTGGATGCAATAGATGGTTCCTTTGAGTCCTGGGCTCCCTCAGGCAGAGGATCCCAGCTATCAAGGGTGGTCATATTCCAGGGAGTTACCTAATTTTAAGGAATGCTATTGAAAATGTTTAACATTTTCAGAATAAAGCCTGGCACTTTAAGCATAATATGACAGTGTCTAGGCAGCCTGTCAGAATGCAGAGCACTGAAGTAGCTTAGTAACTTGAATTACAGACATTGTTTACATGTTCTATCTGCAGCTGCTTTTGTAACTGATATTTTTAGTTCCCAAAAAGTACATGGTTGTGAACTTGTCAGGTTAATGTTTTCATGAAGTTAAATGAAAAAAAATACGGCACCACAGTTAGTAAGTGTAGTGAGTCATTCTCAGTAAAATAGCAGGTTATTTCTGCAAGTTTAATCCTACAGAACTTCCATTGACAACAGCAGATATTTTTGCAGAAGTAACATTTCACTTTCTACCCATTTGTTCATACATTTTAGAACCATTTTTCTGTATTTTGTGCATATATTTATTAATGCTAAAATTTTTTTATTTAATTTAATATTCACCCTTTTAAACTTTAAGTAGCATGTTTCTCTTATGAGAAGTACTTGCCCTTGATTCTTCTCTGCCAGTAGTTTCTACATCTCTGGTTTATTTTTTTCAAGATTATTGTTTCTTCAAGTTGTTTTTTTTCTCTGTGTAAAATCAGTCTCATCACTTTGTACAATGTAGAGTGTTCCCATCTGGTCTGATGTGTTCCTTTTTCACTGCAAATGTTGAAATTTAACATGCTCTTCGAAATGAGTGTATAATTGTTGTAGAGCCTGCTATTATAGTACACCTTTGGGATGCACATGTTGTCCATATAGAGTGTTTAAGTCTAGAATTTAATCTTTCAGGTTTCAGAGTTTTCTGTTTTGTTTGAAAATTTTATTTTCTAACCCACATGGCTGAAATTAACTTCTTAAACATGAAGTGAGCATAAATTCAGTTGAGAGTCAGCATGTATTTGTGTCTCTGGCCCTTCTTTGCAAACAAACGTCTCAAGTTTCTAGTAGAAGTTAATCATGGCACTTGAAAGGGTTTTCCTGATATTCTCGTAGTATAATAAACAAAGGGCTGGGGCAAAAGTGTCTGGCAAAGGAGAGAAAGTATAGGAAAGGAGATTAAAAGGGATGAGGGGAAAAGTGAAAACAAGAAGAAAAGAGAGAATTGAAGTAGTCCTTCTATAAGAGTATGTTTTCAAGTTGTAGGTGTTGAATCTGATTGTATGTTATCAAACAATTAATAAATATAATTAAAAGAGTTAAGAACCAGTCCTTTCATTTACAGGACATGGATGGATGTTTGTGCCTGTCTAGAGAAATACAGGAACAGAAATCCCTCCAGTAATTATGAGCTTCAGGAACAAGGTTTATTCACAGAATAAAGTAGCTTAGGTTTGACAGGACCTCTAGCAGTCATCTAGTTCAACTCTGGGTTTAAAGCATGTCCAACAAGAGCAGGTTACCTAGAGCTGTGTGTCCAGGCTGTATCTCTGAGGATGGAGATTCTAGCCCTGGGCAACCTGGAACAGTACTGGACCATCATTACCCCCAGCTAGACTTGCTCCAGTATATATCAATGCCTTTTCTGAAGCTAGAAACCCAAAAGTGGACACAATGATTCAGGTTCAGGCTTCGAAGTGCTGAGAAATCACTTCTCTTGGCCTGGTGACTACACGCTTGATAATGCAGCCCTGTATGTGAGTAACCTTTTCTGCAAGGGCAAACTGCTGATTAACATTCAAAGGATTCTCTAGCTCCTTGTCTGCAAATCTGTTTCCTAGCCAGTCTATACCATTGCACAGGGTTACTCCAACCCAGGAGGAAAATTCCACAGTTGCTTTTGTTGAACTCCATAAGGTTCCTGTCAGCCCATTTCTCCAGCTCATCAAGGAATACCTGAATGCAGCCCTGCTCTCCAAAGTGTTGACGACTCCCTTCAATTTGATGTCATTCACCAACTTCCTGAGAGTGCACTCTGTCCCATCATCCAGGTCATTAATTAAGACAATAATGTTGGCCCCAGTGTGGATCCCTGAGGGAAGCTGCTAGTAAGTGGCTGATGTTTGGACTTTGTACTGCTGGTCAGAACCCTGCAAGTCCTGCAGTAAAGCCAGTTTCCCTCAAATTTGCTTGCCTAGTCCCTATCTCCCCAGTTTTTCTTCAAGGACACAAGAGGAGACTGAGTCAAAGGCCATCCTCAAGTCAGAGTGTTCAACATTTTCTGCCTTCCCCTTCCTTGTCCACAGCACCAGAGTCACCCTTGGTAAATCTATATGGGATATTAACAATTGCCTTGTCCGTCATGTGGCTGGCAATGGCTTCTAGATTTGTTCTGTAATTTTCCCATGGACAGAGGTGAGGGTTATAGCTACCTGAATCCTCTTCTTGCCCTCCTTGAAGATGAGTATGTCATCTGCATTTTTCCAGTCATCAGGAACCTGCCCTGATCACCTCAGTGTTTCAGTCATAGTAACATCAGCCATCTCCCTCAGCACCCTGAGGTATACCTGACCTGGTCCTGTTGACTCCTGTATGGCCAGTTGAGCTCAAGAGCTTCCCAACTGTCTTCCTTTACAGCAGATTTTGTTCCAGTCCCACAGGAGGGTCAGAGACTTAAGAGGCCTGATGGTAAAACTAACCAGTGAAAACTGAGGCAAAAAAGGCATCAAGTACCTTGGCTTTTTTCATGCCCTTTGTCACTAGGTCCCTTTTTAGCCATCCTTTTGTTCTCCCCTACTGTCAGTCATATTTGACTATTGTTAAGTAGGTAACTTCACTGACAGACCTGCTGTAGGTAGGCAGTATCTCCATATAGGTATTCTAAACCGAGGTATGAGTAAAGTATAGAAAATTCCAAAGGCAACAGGAAAGATTGATTGAAATTTTCAGAGTACAGAATGAATTTTCACACAGTGAAGTCACCTGTACAAATGAGTTTCACAAAGTATTGCGAAGGGCACTAGTTTTGTAATTTCAAAAGAAGATACCTGAATGGATATTTCTATAATACTTATACTGAATTCTGTCTAAAAAACCAAAAAGTGATGTCTTTGGAGGCAAACATCGGTGGTGCCCAAAAACTTACTCTTTCAGGAGAAAAGGTCCATCACTAGGTTTCCTCTAGCTCCTCTAGACTGTCAGGTACTGAGCAGTGTCAGATACTGGACTTTGAATTACATGGATCGCTCCCCTGGACTGGGGTGGTGATTTCTGTGTTCTCTGTTGATATTAATGGTGAATATCAACATTTAAGGAACGTTTCAACATTCTCTAATCTCTTTTTAAAAGGCACTTGCAGTAGTGGGAAATTCCTTTATGTATTTTCCCATCTTCTGATCAAGTGCACTCTTACATGTGAAATCTCTGTGTCTGAGTCACTATCACAGGAGGAATAAAACCTGAAAAGCATGCCACAATTTTGATACTGCCTCAGGTCATTGAATAAGAGTAGAAAGAAATAATTTAAAATTACTGTTCTAAGAAGGGAAAAGATCTTTTTCCTATGTTTTTATTCTCTCTTATAAAACCTGATTTACCTCAAGGAATATTGTCTACAATGGAAGCACTTCTGATGAAGAATTATTTTTTTATGTGGCACTCTTACAGCTGTGCCTGTTGACTGCTACAACTTAAATAATTTGAATTTATTTTAAGAATGTGTTTTGTGTGTTTATACAGGTGTTTTTTGTTTATGTAAGAAGGATTATATGCAAAATTGAACATTTTTCAGTAGTTCCTGAGTTAGCATTCTCTATACATTCAAGTGCATCTGACTGTGTGTTTAACAGATGATACTAAAACTGATTCTATAATTAAACAGTATTTTAAGTCCTCAGAGAAGAAGCTTTTCAGCAAGCTGAACTTCAAATATAACAAACAAAATGATAACAAAATGCTCTTAAGCCACAGCCCATTAAATGAGTAAAAACAATATTTGAAGGGTTTTTTTCATAGCTGTGGGTGTTGCATTTGGCAGTTATTCAGGAAACTGAAGTTTTAATATTCAGACCATCATTTCACATTAGTATTACTCCTATCAGTAGTTCTTCCGGAAGGGAAATGTATTTTTGAGTGAACATTTTAAGTTATTTAGGTCCTGGTTTGTGCTGTTTGCAGAATTCCCACTGAGCATGAGATCCCTTTCACATAAAAGCCTGTAGAAACGGCAACTCTTGAAGGTTTTGATAAGCTGGTGAGCAGTGAAATATTACCCCGTGCAGCACCCCACGCCTGTCGGACACAAGGCAACACGGAATTATGGGCGAGGATTCGGCTGGGGGAGATGTGCACTTTGCTGATAGCCTCCCCCTTCCTGCTGCCTGCATCTTGCTGCCTGGAGCTCACTGCCACCACAGTTCTGCCAGTGGAGCCGGTTGTGTCTACCTGAAGCGACCTTTTTTACTTCTCCATCCTAGGAAGTATTTTTCTTGTAGAATCTCCCATATCTATGCCTTTGCCGTTGGTTTTGCTGTGGTCTCTCCTCTTGTCTTTAATAAACGGTTTAGTTTTCTGAGTGTTTTAGCATGAGGAACACAGGCTTTGTATCTGGGTATATGGATGAAATGCACCAGTTTATGTTCACAATTTCAGTCTAGGTATCTGGTCATTGGAAAAGGTGCTTCAGTCTTAAATTCTATGAAACTGCTTCCAGTTTAGAAAGTAATAAACATCTTGTGCTGTGATTTAAGGTGAAAACCCTGCAGAAAGTTAGTTATTTCTAGGGCCTCAAAAGTCACTGGCAAAGGCAAAAAAGTTAAACTGTCTGTCTTCAATAAGTCTGTTGGCAGTCCTCTAACACCTTACGCCTGGGTAAATAATAGGAGCTTAACTTTGTAAGTGAAGTGCTTTCCATAACCTTGGGAAAGGTATAATCCTTGCCATTTGTCACTGTGAATCATTCTGATGCAGACTACTGCTGTTCTTTTTATGTGCTGTATTTCATATAAACACTCGATGCTGTTAGACTAAATAAGTTGCCTTCTCTGCTGCCTCCAGTCCTAAATATTTGGAAATAAGATACTTTTTGCCATGTGTTCTTCTTATTTGCTAATGAGTCTATTATCCTGAATGCCTCAAGTTATCTAATTGTTGGTTCCCAAGGAAGTTCTTTGTTTGCAACGTGGTATTACATTTTGTTATGTATTTAGGGCTAATCACTTTTGCTTGTTTTATACTACTGTTGCTAATATATATAATTCGTATTAACCAAGTGTATCTTTCTTTTTGCAGCTTGGGTCCTGTGTTTGCTTTGTTTGTACCATTTTATTCCTCCATTCCAAGAGTGCAAGTGGCACAAGTACTAGGCCATTTTTCTATCACAAACAAGACACTGGTCTACATATTGGGTTTACAGGTATGGTATGTACTTGCTTGTTTACCTTTTAATGAATTACTGATGTAGTAGTTAGTATTTTTGTATGTATCTGTAATGAATTTTGATCCTTTCATGTGTGTGATTCCACATATTGCAGCTAGTGACTGTCCCATCAGCTAAAATATTGAAAAATGTGTTGCTAGTATGCATTTCTACATGCTGAAGTGGGTTCTTCTTTTGTCTTCTGTCTTCATCGTCTTGCACAGGAAAATATAATAGAAAATGCTACAATATTTTTTTTTGTCAACAAAATGAGCTAGATGAAAATAGATGAAAACAGAACCTAATACTAAGGCATATGTATCTCTCACCTTTCTGATTTTCTTATATTCTTGATTTTATTTATTTTCCCCTTGTCTGTTAGAGCTCAAACAAAGCCATAGAATACAGCATTTTTTATGGTAAGACAGTCAGTAAATAATCAAGGGTTTGGCTGAATTCCACTTTTATATAAATTAATATTATTTCTATATCAAGCATTGCCATGTGACAGGTAACTTAAAATAGTATAACATAGAGCACAGCAATATCATGTAGTATTATGTTGAGTGGAAAAATATAGGTACTTGGTACAGAAAGGCAGTAATTCTTAAAAAAAACAACAACAAAAAACCCCCAGCAGCCTAAAAATGAATGGACACTTGTGTCACAACTTGAATTATGAAACAGGAGATGTACAAACTTATGAGAAATTATACTCATTTTTATATATTCCAGAGACTCAAAAATAGCTCTGGCACTAGCAACGGAAAGCACCATACTTATGTGAAGTGTGGTAGAGAGTATTTTAGAATGAACGGTCAGTTTCAGACTATTGACTCATAATCCACATGAACATTTCATTCATCCCTTTCGTTGTTCAGCCTTTGGATTCCTTTAGTTTGTGCTCCAGCACCTTATTTGCTCGATCTTGCAGAAATCTTGTTTCCTCTTTTTCCGAACCCATCAATACCACTATTATTCCAGTCTTTGGGAAAGCCATGATATTGTCTGAGCTCTATTCCATCGTGTCCTTTGCCTCTTGCTTTCATACACCACCACCTTCAATACAGATCACTGCTGTTACTAATCACTGGATCGTCCCTGCTGCATACAGAATGGTTGGTGCTGTCACACAGAGGCTGAGGGAAAAATCATTTGCATTCTTCTCATTTGTAAACTCTGCCCTTACGTCACTCTTTCTGTAGTCAGAAGTCGAGAGAAAAAAGGTCTTCTCATGATTCAGTCAGCATTGTGCAGAACTGTTTCAGTAACAAGTATCAGTCTAATTTTCAGCCCATTTTTCCAGTTGGTATTAACCAACTCCAGGGGATTAATCACATACTTTACTAGAAATGGTGGGCTGCCCTGTTGACTTATCAGGCTTTTTTTTTAAAGTCACTCCAACCTATTACTGTGATTTCATATTGACAAATGTACCACTGGGTGAGAACTTTATCTCTTTAATTTTGATGCTCATGCTTAGTCTCTCTGTGACTGCATGTCTGAGAGCTTCACTTGCACAGCCTGCCCTGCTTGGAACTCTTCTCCTGTTGCTGCTGAGTCATTTCCTTTGCTTCAGTCTATCTTTCAGACTTGTTTTTCTGTGCAGCCTATAACTGACATCCTGTTATACTTAGTAAGCTATATGAAAATAAAATGTATTGTTCTGTAGAAGGACAACAGTTGTTGGATCCCTGTGTTCTTTCCACTTCTGCTACTTCTGGAATACATCTTTTTTTAATGTTAAACTGAATTTTCACAGACATAAATGTCTGACCTCCCATTGTCATGATAACTACATATCTTATATAATATCACAACATAGTAGTTCAGATAACAGCTTTAAAATTAAAATTTTAAATCACTACTCTTGTCTTCTAGCTCTTAACCTCCGGTTCCTACATCTGGATTTTAGCCTTAAGTGGATTGGTAAGTCTTACTGTTTTAAAAATCATGTGTTGCTTAAAACACTCTGTTACGTATACTATCAGTGCAGTATATTTGGACTCAAAAAGAACAGAAATTAGTGACCAATATTTTTATTTGTGATGGTAAGTAGAAAGCTTTCATCTTTAACTTCCAAAGGTGTAAAGCACTAGCTGGCTATGAACTGACAGGCAATAAAAGAGCTGGTTAATATTTGCAGGGTGCCATTGCTTTCTGACCCCCTGAAATTAATTTTACTGCCATGGATATAGCTTTAGACCCACAACTATAAATGACACTATTGAGGAAATGGTAGAAATGTTTACCTTATTGTTGCTTTGGGGTTTTTTTTTTTAGTTTTCAGCAAGCCTCAAGCTTTTATTCCAAAAAGCAGCTTTTAACAGTTTTGCTGTAACAAGTTTTTCATGTTTTGCTGTTCTCCCAGGACATGTGTAGTATAGCTGTTTCTCACTATAATAATGGCAGTAAGGGTGCAAAATCACTTTCTTCACACCAGTCAGATAAAGTCTGTGTGGTCTGTCTTTTTCCTTTCCAACTCTGTTCTTAGAACTAAGGCACTTAGTGCTAAACCAGATTGTACTAAATCTTTGAGATTGTTAGATACTGATAAGGTCCTTTTAAAATTTTTAAAACTTAGAAATTAGGAGCTTGTACTCTTGAGTTCTTGGTCCAAAATACTGTCTGATTTTCAAACATTGAAAATGCCACCTCTTCCAAAGAAGCTCATTATTAAGTTGACACAATTTTAAGAATTTAAATTGTGCCCTTGCTATTCAGAACCTACTAATTTGAGTTTGCAGTGAGCTCAAGAGTGAAAAGCCTGTGAAGACTTCACATATAGCTGTTTTAACTCAGTAGTTTGGTCTCTTACCATTTTCATTGACTGTTCCAAAATATTCTGTGAGCTCAGAGGATAACTAATGAGGGTGACAGAGCAGTAAATAGTGAAGTCTGCTCGGCAATTAGGTCTGATCATGAGCATTGATGAAAACAGTGCAGCTAACATACCAGAATTTCTTCCTCCTGGAGGTTTGCCCAAGCCTCTATGCCCGCATAAGGATCTGTGACTTCCTCCAAACGTAGTACCCTTCCTGTTACTCTTCTGGCTCTTTTAATAGCCCTTCCTTTTGAACAGGTGTTCATTGGAGAGGGAAGGAAAGGAAAGGAAAGAAAAGGAAAGGCATTTTAACTACCTATTTCCTGGTGGCAGGAACTTGGTTATACAGACTTATAAAGAACGGCTCAAATATATATTTTTTCATAATATGTTATGAGGGTCTTATTTTAATCCCCTTTTAGTGTACAGTTTTATGCAACTTTCTTAGGATTCTTTTAATAAGTGACCTTTTTTTTCAGTTGCAGGTTGACAGTATGTTTTGCATAGGAATAAGTCAATAGGAATAAACTGAGCTTTCCCTATGTCACAGGAAGGCTTAAAAAATATTCTGAAGTTTTCATGTTGCTTCAGTCAGCATGAATTAAGTCATCATCAGTGATGATGTGTTTTCAGTCTCAATTTGTTCTGCAGCAAGCAGAGAGCTGCATTCTGCTGTTTTGTAGTAAGTGCTACTATTTGGAGAGAAGTTCATGTTATGAATTTCCACCATTTTTTACACAGCATATCTGTTGCACATCTATGAATAAGTAGTCTCTTTTTCTCCTCTATTAGAAATTATATTTTAGCATCTTTTGAGAAAACTTGATAAAGGAGTAAAGTTTCACAATATATTAAATAATCTGAAGAGGGATATGAAACACTGTAAAGGCACGTTTTAGCCCTACAAGTGTAGCTACTAGATAACATATGTATATGTACAATTACAGAAATACATAGATTGTCAAATCAATGTTAAGTCATTCCAACAATGTTGCTAGAATTACAAAGGGTAATTTTGTAATTCTTTACAGCTCTTGACATTTTCTAACATCTGTATCTTTGTTGAATGAAATTTTCATGTATTTGTACAAAAAGGCTGAGGAAATGCATGAATACCAAGTCAGCTAGGTGTGATATTTAGTCACTAGTTCATTGCCTGTTAGACACTTCGCTGTCTGTATTTTTAGCTCTAAAGATCACTTAGACACTCATATGACTGTATATGATGCTGTTCTGCAATTTAGCTTTTGTTGCACTTCTGCTTATATGGAGTATTAAATGGATGGTACTGGCATGATTTCTGAATTGTCAGTTTCTACTTTCTCTTTACCGTGTGAGAATTATTTAAATTTTCACAATTTATATTTTAACATGTAATGAACACTCTTAGACTAAATGAGATCTGACTTTTCATGTACAAGATGTGGCACTGAAGATTGGGTTTTGTGTTCATCCTTGCTAATGCTTCCTTCTGAACTCCGGGCAGGCTGCAGAGCAACTGGGAATTGTACCGCCTTGAGTTCTTGTTTTCAGTGGTTTTGAGCAATGCCATCATTACAGAAATGTGTAAATGTGTTTGCGAGCATGTGTGAGTCTATGTATGCGGGTAGGCATTGATGTAATGTTCCTGTGACAAAGAATTTGAGACAATTATAGTTTGACACTTGGATTGTTCTCAATTACTGAGATGGCAGCACATGTTTTGTTATTGGAATACAAAATGTCTACAGTGTCTCTCTTTGCCATAAGCTGTATCCTCCTAGATCTCTAATTCTGAATCAGCATAGGAATATGCTCTTAAAGGAGGCTTTTTTACTCTCCAGATGAAACTGGATTACCTCACAATTATTGTTCTTTTGGTATGTCAGTATGGGCCTGGTAATTTCAATTGCTGGCACGTTGTGTGAAATATGCTGTGTAAATACATGATGCTTACTTTACTTTTCTCAGGTAGTCTGAAAAGTTGCACTTTTTATACTTTAGATATTGGAAAACTGTAAGGAATCTGTAATTTAGAGCATGTACTTCAAAGAAAGTTCAGACAGTGTTGAGTGCATGGTTTTCATTTCAGGTCTGATTTTTGAGTGCTTTAGTTCTTACTCGTAATTTTGAAATTGCTAACTTGTTTTTACAGACTATAGATATCTGTTGTTAAATGCTTCTGAACATGTTTTGGATTGTTCTCAGTTCTGTTAAGAACGTTATTCATCTCTTCTGTTTGTTATTCATTCAGATGAGATGTTTTTCTATAGTGAATTCTGTCCTTTAGGATCAGCATTTATAGCATAAGATGTGATTGGGCTGGGGTGAAAAATATTTAAACCAGACTTTCAATTTTTTAGTTCTTGTCTTAAAAATACAATTATTTAGTTAATATCTGATCAGACCTAAGAGTCATTGATTTTCTTGTTGGTGTTCTTCCTCTTCCACATCTTTTAAGTGATTTTGAATAATCCTTACTGAATTCTTTTCGTTGTTTTAAAAAATGTTTTGAAGGCAATGCAGAAGCATTTGTATTACCCCACAATGCAGTATTCACACTTAAAATATCATCCTTTCTTCATACTTAAAATTAGTATTAGGTATGTGCTGACTTTCTTGAAGAAAGAACCTCATAATGTAGTATGCAGTTACCTCCACATTCATGTTCTGTCATGTGTCCTTCTTGATCTTCCGGTTCATCTTTGTTATATAGTCTTATGTAGATCTCTAGTCAACGTCAAAATATGATGTTCCGAAGATATTCTTTGTAATTGTGTAATTATAAATGGTGATTCAGGTAAATCTACTTACATCTAGTTGAATGTCTTGTGATAGTGCTTTGGTGACACAGAAGAGAGTCAGTCTAATATGATTGAGTTTGGATAATTTTTTTTAAATATATGGGGTTTTATGCTGTTGATTTATAGCCAAACACTATTTGAACTGGAGTTCAGGGTAGATAAAATTTAATTATTTGCAGTAACTGAAATCCCATTTTTAATTCATTCTTTTAAATTTGGAATTATGAAAAGCTATAGTGAAGGCAAAACTTATTAGAAGTATGAAATTTAAACAAAACAATATTGAGAAGTAATTACATTGTGTTACTGGTTTGAGAATTGCTATTGCATAAAGTAAAATCTAGCGTACTCACAATAACATCAATAGCACTTTAAAAAACCTGTCATTGCTATTTTTTCATTTTGAGCTTGTTTGCATCCAAGTGTCTTGTAACAGACTACTACACAGTGCATTTCTGACTTGAAAAATTGACACAGAAGAGGGGTATCCCTAACGGTATCTTTTAAACTTTAGTTTTAAAAGTACATTGTAGCCTTCTCTTTTTTTTTTTTTTTAATTTTTAATTTAAGTCTTTCATTTTGTGGAAACATTGGATGATCACAGGAGAACATATTTTTATCATTTTCAGTAGTAAAAAATGTAATTTTTAGAAGAAATAGCTAAGAAAATTTAAATAAGTCTGAGAACATAGATTATTTAAAGGTTTCCTCCTGATATCTTTAATTGCAACTAGTATTTGAGCCTTTGTTTTTGAAATCATTGTGCTTCATTGGAGCTGGAACTGCCATTGGCTGTTCAGCTAACCGTGAGCACATGTGCCAGCAGTGCAGTAGGCCAAAATAAAATTTTTCAGCTCATTACCCAGTGTCTTTTGACCACATGATCAAAAAATCCCATCCAACACTGCGCAAGTGTTGCTCTGGATATATTGGGCTGCTCTGTGGAGAGTTGTGCTTGCTCTGCCTACTTTATGAGCTGGGATTTCTAGTTCAGGCTTGAGCACCATGCTAGGGCGCTTGCATAGGTCCTGATAGAGGTCTTTATTCTACTGCTGGATCATATTGCACATTACTGAGTATTACATTCTAAAAACTGCAGCAAAAGATTTTACTGTATAAAAGATGTGGGGAAAAAAAAATACTGACCAGGATAGCATTTCAAGACCTGATATTTAAAATTAAAGCACCAGTACTACACGGTCTTTTTTTGATTATATAGATAAATCCAGCTCTTTTTCAGAAAAATTTGTAAAAATACAGAAAACATTACCAACACTTTTGATTTCTTTTATTTTTTCTTCTTTTTCTAGTCAGTGTTTCTT